TGTTTTTATGTTCTTTTTTTTCTTCTTCAAAATCAATAGAAATAGTTACTTGTTTGCTACTAATGAGACTTGAATAAACACTATATAATACTCTTCAAAGCTCTAATTCGAATTTTTAACCCAAAAGATCAAACAAACAAGAATTTGTTTACTCAAAAAGAGTTAACAGCCCTTTGGAAGACACCAAATGAGATGAGATTTATTTAACTGCTGATGGGAAAACCTGCATATCAAATAAACAATCATCTTGATTATTATCTTCAACATCTAGTTTCATTTCGCTAACGATAAGACTTAGCATCTTATAAACTTGTTCTGAACTAGGATGTGTTCTATCATGCGCTATAAATCTATGAAGGGTTCCAGAAATCTCAACAGCACTATACCCGGGAAGCTTCTTCACACCTCTCCTTTCCATGGCCTCTCTCATTGTTCTCGAATCATCCCAACGTCTGATAATGGCATAAACGTTTGATAAACCAATATATCTGCCATCATGATCTGGTTCCAGTTCAATAAGCTTCCTTCCCACTATTTCTGCAATATCAAACTTTCCATGGTTTATACTACCGCTAAGCAGGGCACCTAACAATGAAGCAGTTGGCTCCACAGGCATTTCGCACAAAAATTTATATGCCTCCGCAACTTGACCAGCACGTGCCAGAACATCAACCATGCAAGCATAGTGTTCACTTGTAGGGATTGCCCCATGTTTACCAAGATAGTTGAAGATATCCCAGGCTTCCTTCACTAATCCACCGTGAGCACAAGCACTGAACAAGCACAGATAAGTTATCTCGTCAGCTGTAACCCCAACTACCTGCATTTCTTCATATAATTCAAGTGATTCTTTAATCAATCCATGTGTTGCAAGCCCTCCAATCATTGCATTCCACAGTAGAACATCACTCTGAGCCAAAGGAATGCTATGAAACACGGCCTTTGCCTCCTCTATCGCCCCACATTTTGCATACATATCCACGAGTGATGTGCACAGCACCAATGTCAGTTTCAACTTGTTATCAATTATGTACCGATGCATCATCTTCCCTTGTTCAAGTGCACCGAAGTGACAGCAGGCACACAATACGCTAACCATAGTCACCTCGTTGGCCTTTGGACCCGAGATCTTCATTAGCTCAAAAACCTTCATAGCCTCCTCATATTCCCCACTCTTCACATAACCATCAATCAAAGAACTCCAGGACACCACATCTCTATCAGGCATTAACTCAAACACTTTTCTTGCAGAATTTATATCTCCGCACTTAGCATAACAATCCAACATGGAGTTCCAAGATACCAAGTTCTTCGTTGGCATTTTATCAAACAGCTTACGCGCACACACTGCATCGGCAAAAGAACCATACATATGAACGAAAGAGTTCGCTATAAACCTGTCACTCTCATATCCAGTTTTTAATACATGGCCATGGACTGCTACACCAAGTTCTCGGTTCAAGAGACGCGAAGACGCCTTTGCAAGAAAAGGGTACGTAAGATGATCGGGTGAGACTCCAATCCTCAACATTTGGACAAAAACAATAAACGATTTATTAGGAGTTTTGCTGATTGAATATCCTCTGATCACAGCATTCCAGCTAAAGATTGTTGGGTTGGATAAATTTGATAAAACCAAGTAAGCATAATCGATTCTACCCGAAACTGAGAGTGCGGAGAAAGAAAGTATTCTTGAGACAGAAGGGTCGTCTTTGGAGACGCCAAAGGTGATAAGCAGAGCATGAATTTGCTTGAGCTCCGACATTGATTTGCAATTATCAAGGAAGGTGATTAGAGTTTGCCTGAGATTGACATTTTTGCACAGAAATGGTACATTCAACATCTACAGTTAGAGAACATGAACAGCTTTGTCCCAAACTTGAAAACCAGCAGCGGGGACGCTACGCTGTCACTTGAAAGTGGACGTACACGAATTGTTCTAGAAGAAGTATATAATTTTCGAATTCTTAAAAAAATTGGTGGTTAAGAATAAAATAGTTATAAAGCTTGGACTTCCTTACAAATTTTAATGGCTGAGTCCGTGGTGGAATGCTTAATTTATATGCAATACGGAAATATTATTTTATTATCAATATTCTTATATACCACCCAAAATTATAATAATTGGATGTACTACCTGGACACTGATTATATCAAATATATTATATTATTTCTTATTTACACTGTTCTAATTAATACATAAATTCTAATTACATAGTTAATATAATTTTTAATTTTGATTACAATTTCTTTTTCTACTTATTCAGACAAAATTTTGTAGTCAAGTAATTTTAGTTTCAGAAAAAATTTTAATTAGACAGTTTGTAGAGCTTTTACTACACAATTTTGATTTAATAAAATTTTCAATTAATTGAATTGTAACACATTATTTTTTTAATCATGCCATTTTTAATTATTATAAAATTCTTAATTACAATATTTAACTAAATATACAGTTTTATCTATTAAAAGATTAATGTTTAGTTATACACTTTTTATTATAAAAGAATTAATTAGATAATTAATAAAACTATAGCGAATAGATTTTCAATTAGATAAAAGAATTTAATCTAAATTACTAGAAGATCGCCGAATATGAAAAAATTTAAAGTACCCTTTCTTGTGTGACTGTGTATAGTAACAATGACAGCCCTCAATGGAGTCATACAATGACTCTCAGGATTAAGTCTTTCTATAAGTAGTTGTGCAACCATGAATGTAATGATTTTAGATTCTAGTTAAGATAAATTTGCAAGGTAAGAGTACCTGCCAGAGTATCGGTTTTTTATTAGAAGGGTAGCAAGGAATTTACTTTAACTAATAAAAAATTGAGGAGATAGGGCAAGATTTTGATAAAAGTTTGTTATCTTTGCTAGAAGGCATAAGAAAATTGCAACCATGTATTGCTCTAGTGTCTAGTGGTTTACAAGATTTGAACTATGGTTTATGGACTTTTAAGCACTAGTTTGGTGATGACATGATCGATGAAAGATTAAATTTGACGATAGTGGGGCATCAGGAGAGGGACGAAAAAAATAGACTTAATACCACTTACCATCTTTACAACAATGAGGAAAGAGAAAAACAAAAGAGCTTTTGATAGAGTTGACGATGTGAACAACTTCGACTTACTTAAGAACAAGTGGTTCCAAACCCTTAGTTTTTGTTATTGGATCATCCTCCACAGTTAATGGAGGATTTAAGAAACCTTACTGATACTTTGGTAGATATGTAAATTCTCTTGTACATCAGTTCGTATGATGCAAATAAGGCAAAATATAATAACATTGATCCAATTCAGCTACCTAATGATCCGATTACAAAAGCAAGGTTGAAGAAATTCAAGGACGCATTAAATGGGATGATTTAAGACTTGTGGAATAATATTGACAAAATTCAAGAATGCAACAAGGAAACATATATTGAGCTTAGGCTATATAACATAAATCAAAGTTTGGTCACATTAACACAAGTGGAAGTTACACCAATCCATTATGAAGTTGAACCAATTTGTTTGGAATGGCCATAACTTCTGCTTCTAATGTTCGAATTAGGTGATTCAAAAGCGTAAACATATATACACATTTGGGGCTACAACTTTTATGAAAAAACCCAGTCCAAATTCGAATTTTATCAGATAGATAATTGGCTCAAAAATTTCAAAATGAATTTTGAGTTAGATACATTGGATCTAGTTGTCTTCATTTATTGTATCAAGATGCTTACTTTTCTTATTACATAGAAATACATACTTAGTAATATGAAGGGTTGTGATTCTTAGAAGTCTTAAAACTTATCTTGGAACAAGTATAAATAGACAATATTCTCTTTTGTAAAGATAAATTGATATATGAATTTGCTTAATGCAAGGTTTCTTAAGAGAGATTTTTCTCTTGTTCTGATTCTTATTTGAATCAGAATTCATACGAGCAAAGCTAATTACTTTGTGAGTAGCTTATTCCAAGGTTCTCTTCAAGTGGTGAAATTGGGTTGCAGACTTATTTCAAAGTTTTCTTTCACGAATTGAATTAGGTCAAGGACTTGGTAAATCTGATTTACCTTTCTAAGGAGTTGCTTCCAAGCACAAAGATATTAGGTTTCGGGTTTAATATACCCCTAGTTCATATTAGTTTGGTATCGAAGTTTACGCTCTAAATCACGTTATATCCTTTGTGTTTCATCTTTTTACCTCTGTTGCATTGTTTCAAGTCTTTGTTTCCATTTCCATCCTTCATATCCATTTGTTATTGTTTAGCATCTAGCATATCAGTCTAGTGTCCTTTCATTTCCATTC